AAATTGTGAAGAAAAAGAAGGTTAATATGTATGTTGACAATAAAAAGAAAATGTAAAATGAAATATTAGTCATTATTCAAGATTAGAAAAAGTATTAAGTATTAAACTCGTAAGAAATGGCATTTCCACTCGCCTGCAGCTCGTATCATAAACTACATCTTCGTGGAAATATCAAACTCTCTCATTCGTTGAATAATATACTATTTTTCGGCTTACCTCGAGCAAGCTATCGCCTACTAGGATCATAAGCAGCCTAAACCCATTCCTCTCGACGACTTTAGAGGCATTTTCGGCTGCATACATAGATGTAAAATCAAACATGGCGACATCCGGCTGCCCGTAATGATTAACCGCGAATTCCAAATCCGGCATTTGATAATTCGTACTGAAGTTAGCAGCTTCTTGTGCATAGTCCATCAGCGCCTCCCTGTTGACATTTTCCGTAGCAAGCAAACGTTCCGTGTCCATCAAATCCTGCTTGATGACACCCTTATCGATAAGACTAGATTTCTTAGCCGTCATGACAAAATAATGCGTATCGTCTTTATAGTAAACGATATTTTCGAGATCAATTCCAGTGGCTTCATATAAATCCTTGAAGAATTTCTGGTTAAAAATGAAGGCCACACCGCTGATTTCTTCAACGCGAGCTTCGGCTTCGGTGCGTTTGTTGATGAAGTTGGCCGTTATGGCAATGGCCAGTTTGCCGCGAAATTCCTTGCGTTTGAAGCCTTGAAGGGTATTGCGTTTGCCGTCGGCGCCGATCACCACGTCGAATTCGTATTGGGACACTGGGTGGTCGGAGGGGGTGAATTCGGCCTTCCATCCCGTTTCTAAAAACAAATAAAACTCAAACAAAAATTTAAAGGTTTATAGCTCAGTCAAATTAGACAAATCCGTGGGAAAAAATCCTAGAGTTGGAATTTTTTTTAAACGCTTTATTTACACTTGGGTCCCCGAAGGTGGGGGGCGAGCTCGAGAAGGGAGAGGGGGTTAAAGGTGATTTTTTTTTGTTTTTTTGCTTATATCTCTGAAATTATCACTCCTATAGGTTTTTATCTTCTTATCAAAATTAAAGCTTACAAAAATGGTCCTTTGAATTTTTGTTGTAGGACTAACCTTAAGCGAGTTATAGAGCAGACAAAAAACATCATTTAAAAAAATGTGCTTTATCTGCATTTACAACAGAATTAGTCTTGTAAAAAAACTGACATTAAATTGAATTTACTGGGTCCAATACTTCATTAAAGGAAGGGGGAATCACGAGGGTCTATAAATACAAACTCATCGTTTATGTAATTCATGCAGAATTTTCTGTAGAAGTCTATTTCTGCATCAAAATTTCCTACAAAAATGGTCCTATTCATTTTTGTCGTAGGACTAACCGAAGGCTTCAAAAGTTTAGAGTCTACATAAAATTGCATTAAAAATCCTTTGAAACACATTTCATTAGTATATGGTAAGTATTTATATGTGTAGAGTGTTCCTCAACTAAGCTGGTCTGCCTGAAAGGTGACTTGGGTGTAAACATTTAAACGGAGATATAAAGAAAAATTTTGGATGAAAGAGAGAATCAATCTGTAAGGGGGTTAAATGGGGTGTAAATGTTTAAACAAAGATATAAACATAAAATTCTTTAGAGGTGTAAAGGAACACTAAAATCAGATTTTTCGAAAATTAGTTTTTAAGGGAATAAAACGGTGTACACATTTAAAGGGATATAAAAACATTAAATTTGGAAAATATGATCCTTAGAGAGTGTAGAAGTGCACTTTTCAAATTTTAATGAAATAAAATAGAGTTTAAACGCTTAAAAACAAAATTAGAAAAATGAAAATTCGAATTTTGAGAGTGCATAAGTGCACGAGACGACACTTTATAAAAATCAACATTTAATATTTATCTATAAACATAGCCCATGCGAAGAACGAGACTATTATAACTGAATCCTATACATAACATAGGTAATTATCTAGCGTTATAGAGTACCTAAGCCTATGGAATGGTTCTGTGAACGGGCATTTTCCCATTTTATATCAGAAATACACGCGGACAAAGTCGCAAGCAAATGCTAGTTCAGCATATAAAGATGACTCGGAAGACTTGATAGACCCTCGTAGCACCTTCTAATGAACTGTTGGATCCAATACATTCAATTTACTATAAGCTTTATTCAAATCATCGATATTAACTCATCTACCGGGTGGGGCATCGGTTACGCGCACTTGATAAATCGCGACTTCAAATTAATTAAAACTGGCGATATTTCATATACCTATCTAATTATTGTTAGGGTATAATTTGAGAATTTTTCTAATTTTTTTGGATAATAAATGAGTCCGTAACAGTTTTGTGTGTTTTATGAATACTTTCTGTTAATTTACCTATAAAGTTTTTACACTAAATGAATCTGTACCTGTCAGCGCATCAAACTTTAACATCACAATTTCAAATTTTGACTTGGTTAGCCAAATAATCGCTTTTTTTTATTTAAACACAAACCAGACCCGTGATTTATGACAAAATGGTATAATTTGCCAACAAAAGAATTATTTACTGGTAGCCGACCGCTTTAAAGGGTCTTTTTGTTGTAAACCTTGGAATCTTACCCCAATTGCAGTTCCCCATTGTCACCTAAATTTACGATGGCACAAGTAGCAGGTCATAAATAAAAATGATTTTCAAAGTTAAGATGGGAAATTGCGTTTAATTCAAAATCTAATTGGTATTTTTTTTTCTCTGATTTTGTAAACAATTGTAGGAAGTGAATATGCGTAGGTCAGTATAAAAATTAGAATTAAACGTTTTGCGACAAAATTACTTTTTTTTTTGCTTTGTTTGTAAATGAAAAATTACCAAAAAATTAGAGAATATACCTTACTAACACACAGGTAAGTGTGAAAAAATTCAACAATTTTATTTAATTAGAAGTAGGGATTTCTTTTCTGCGCGTAACCGATGCCCCTTCCGGCATTTATTAATATTGTACTGAACAAGACTGTAATTCGGTTTTCAATGTTTAAGTTGAAGACGAAGATGCAGCATATGAGGACGACTGGAAAGACTTTATAATCTCTCTAATGAAGTGTTGCACCCAATAAATTCAATTTGCTTTCAGTTTTTTCAAATCACAGGATTAATTCTGTTTTAAATGCGGATAAAGCACATTTTTTTAAGTGATGTTTTTTGTCAGCTTTACGTTTAATCCTACAACAAAAATGCAAAGGACCATTTTTGTAGGAAATTTTGTAGGCTTTAATTTTGAAAAGCAGGCAAAAACCGTTAGGAGTAATAGTTTCCGAGATATAAGCAAAAAAACAAAAAAAGACATCTTTAGCCCCCTCCCCCTCCTCGATCTCGCCCACCACCTTCGGGGACTTTTGATATATATGTACCCAAGAATAAAGAAAGCGTTTAAAAAAAATCGAACTCTACGATTTTTTTCCACCGATCGCCCTATTTTTGTCTAATTTGACTGGGCTATTAAAGAAACCACGATGCAAGCGAAACTTTTTTTCGGATCAATACACACCAATACATCAATACGCTGTTCAAAACACACAAATACCGCGGAGCACTTGCCCGAATGAGTAAGAATATAAATGCTACACGGTCAGCTGATGCGAGCCATGGGCGCCGCCATATTGGCCTTGGCTGCTCTGCCAAGCGCATTTTACTTTACCCCTTCTCCGCGGCCGGTTGTGATGCGACATGCGATAGATGGACGAAAAATTTTAAAGCGATGGAATAAAAGTTTCACTTTAAAAAATCATCAACAACACTTACTTGACACTGGATCCGGCTCCACCAACCTCTCGAAACTCACTTCGGTGTGAACTTCAACACCCAGTAACAACACCACCTTCAAGAGTATACACTGCAACTGCCTAATACTAATATGATCAATGGCACCTGCACAAAACTTCCCGAAGAATTTTTTAGCACCCAACGCTCTCAAATCCTCAATTACGAAAGGCCACAAGTGAAGAACATTATTTCGTGATAAACGATCCCTTTTTTCTATAACCACCTGAAGATGTCCGATTAAAACACACGAAACATCTTGTCGCGATAATACTCACCACTTTTGCACCCAATAATTGCGCTTCGATAGCTGTTCGTAACCCACAAGGACCGGCCCCAATAATCAAAACCCTTACAAAAAAAAAAAAATGTAACTTTGTAAAAAAAAGTCGATGGTATAGTTACCTGCTATTTGAACACAACTTCCCTTTTCCGTAACATTTATGTGCCGCCCTCGCATCGAATTTCTTCCACAAAGCATTCGCCCTCCAATGCTTCAAATAGCCCCTCAATTTCGGGTAAAATAGAGGAAAAAGGTTCGGTTTGAGGTTGAGAAGGTCGCAAATGCTGCGATAGTAACCGAGAATGTTCCTCAAACTTGTCGCGTTGAGAAAGTGGTCAAAGTATTCGTTGGCTTGAGCGACGTCTTTGGCGGTGACTTGGGGACCTCCCCGTGGAGGAGGAGGTTGGTTGTGGTGGTCCATGTCGAAGCTAAGTCTTCAAATGTTCGAAATACATCTGTAACAAATAAAAAAGAGGGTAATTAAGTGGAACAAATGCGATTTGTATGCGAGACAAGTTGGATGATTTGTGAGAAAGAATTTTAATGTTTCGACATGGAATCACTTAATTATGTGACCTGTTATGGGCGCGAGGAAGGAGTCGAAATGCATACAAGTTGATTCTATTGTTGTAAATACATGTAATTGATAAGGAATATCGATCCGGATTAGGCAATGGTGATTCATCATCAATCAATCCCAAGTTGATATTTAAATGTTATCAGAATGATCAGACTTTGAGAATCAATCAAGAAAATCAAATAATAAGTGTTTTTTCACTGTTTCCTCAACAACCTAGAACTTGGGCTAGTTTGAAGTTAACAAAAACACAAAATAAAAAAAACACAAACTACACTGGCCGTCAAAATTAACCGGACAACTAAAATTTTTGTTATTCTTTGTCGGATTTCGACGAATTTTTATTTGGCTTAAAGAAAAAACTTTGTAGATCATTGTAATCTAATTTAATAACATTTTTAGTTTTGTTTTCTAAATGTGATACTCAAAAGACGAAGGCACTGTTTTCTGAATTCTTTTCTGAATTATGTACCACATTTTCCATGATTTTAATTCTTGAGACATGAGAGATATAAACCTTCAAAAAAAGCATTTCATTTCCAATTTTAATAAATGTTCATATTAAAATGTGTCAAAACGTCAAAATAGGCGAAATGGAAGCTTCCAATAATTAACGGTTTTTCTTGTTGTAATCCTTTGAAGTTCCAAGTTTTTCAGATTTTTTGTGTTTTAAGACGTAATTATGTATTTTGGTGACATAGGCAATAACTTTCGGTTTAACTACCTTTTTATGTGGCCTACTTTCTGAACGAATATTTAGTAACATTAGAAAAGCAACGTTTTTTCCACTTTGTATCTCTGGGGCACTAGAAGATAAAATTTTGAAACAAATTGGTCCTCATTCAGAAAAGAACGGGCAATAATCTGAAATAAGTAAAAACTTAATTTTGTCTCTGTTGCACACTACAGCTTAGTATAAAAAAAGTAAAAAACAGTGCTCTTTTAGGTATAATATTTAAAAACACAAAACTAGAAATGTTATTGAATTAAATTACAATGTTCTGCAAACTTCGTTTTTTAAGCCGAACTAAAATTTGTCGAAAACTGACAAAAATAAACAAAGTATTGCAATGTGAAAAATCGCAAAATTTTAGTTTTAGTTGTCCGGTTAATTTTAGCGGCCAGTGTACTTATGCAACAACAAAAATAATTCAAAAATTATAGATTTACCCAACATTACGCCTTAAAGCTCTCAAAAATCGTAAAATTCAATTATTTATTTGAGTTCTTTACATTTCTAAAGGTCACACAAACTTCGTCAAGTAAAAAATTAACAGTGCACTTTTGATAACATTTTCCAATCACGCACTAAAAATCACAAGTTCCGACCTCAAACCCCGATCAATTTCGTTATTTGCCTAGATTTACGTCACGTTTTCTGATCGAATCGGTAAGAAACTGACCTACCCATCGGCGATGTGAAACCGTTTGTTGTTTTATCGAGTAAAAATGAAAACTAGAACGATCTAATTGAGGAAAACTCACGGTTCGAATTGATTCATTCGTATCGCTTTGACAAACACAATTTCTTTTTCAAAGTGTATCGATTACAAACGATGAGATATAAATAACTCACCAATTTAGTAACTAGTGCCAATAAACCGACAACACACTGATTTTATACGAAATGAGAGTAAATTAATCAAATGTTTAGTCGCAACAAACGGTTTTATATTATTTTTATCACAATAGTGATCTTATCGGTGATAATTCTCTTTGTACCTTATTTGGGGCTATCAAAAACTGCAACAAAATAAACAATTTGTATAGAAAAACCTATTTTTTTCTCACTTAATGAAATTTCTTATATTTTCTTTATTCTATAGGTACATACACAGGTGTCCAAGAAAGTTGACAAAATCCATTAGTGACCTTTAAATGGTAAAATTTAAAAAAATTGTATAGGGCATTGATAGAAACTAATTTAGTGCATCACCTAAAATTATTTTCAACATAGAGCATGTTCCAAAAATAAGTTATGATACAAACTTATGTTTTTTTAAATGAAACACCGTATGTTTCTTTGCATTTCTTTGCCATAAAACAATGTTGTTACACTAAACTTTTATTAGTCGACTTAGCTTAGTTTTAGAAATAAGTCGTTTTTTGAAGAAAAAATTAAAAAAATTTGTTAAAAGTGCATGTCACTTTTAACAAATTAACTTTTAACCAATTTTTTCTTACTTTTGCAAAGAAGAAAGTACAGAATTTAAAGCTGTAGTAATTTTTTAGTGTTTTGCATTTGTGGACATTAATAAATTAAGAAGTTTGTTAAAAGTTAAATAACTTCAAAAATTTGAATGGAACACCCTTTTTTTATTTTTACATCTAATAGATTGATAAACTGTATATCTAAAAAAACAAACATTTAATGTCTACATTTGCCTATCAATATCTGAACATTGTTGATATTATGGCAACCATAGCAATTCCACCATGGATCACTTATTCGTTGATTTATCCAGAGATTATAAAAGTCGTTATAAATACTGAAATTCGAATTATCTTATTGTAAAAATAAAGAATAATGGATTCAGTTTAGCACAAATGTGATTATTAAGTGATATTTCTTCCATCTCTTGTGCAACTGTGCACTTTTTGCCACTGAAACAATAGTAATTATTTTTTTTAATGTTTAACGTTAAATATCTCTCTAGTTATTGATTATAAACACTTAAAAATAAATAATTTTAGAAAAACAATTTAATAATCTTTTAAATGCAAAAACAATAAATAGGGTGTTCCATTAAAAGTTATTAAACTTTTAACACACGCCTTCATTTTTTTTTTTATCTTTGCAAATGCAAAACATTAAAAAAATGTTACAACCTTATAGCTTGTACCTTCTTCTTTGCGGTAGTAAAAAAAATATTTCTAGATGTCCTAGTTTTTGTGTAATAAATTTTTAAAAAGTGCATGTTTTTGTCAAAAAAAAACGTCTTATTTTTAAAACTAAACAAAATCGACCAATAAGGTTTTGCTTAAAAACATTGTCATAAAAATCTACATCCAAAAACGCTAAGAAACATATGGTGTTTCACATAAAAAAAAAACACAACTTTGTATTGTCACTTATTTTTGAGGTACGCTGTATAGTTGAAAATAATTTTAGGCGATGGACTAGATTAGTATCTATCAATGTCCTTTTTTTTTATTTTACCATTTAAAGGTCACTAATGGACTTTTTCAACTCACTGGGGTGTTCCAGTTATATAAACTTATTAGTTATTACTTTATTCGTTGTCAGTAGGGTATCAAGATAACCCAAAATAGCAAAATTATTGCAAAAATTGTTCAAAAATTTAGTAAAACATGAGGCAACAAATTGAGATAAAAATAAAAAACTAGTATGTACAGATCAATTCAGATAAGATAATGAGCCTGACGATCTGGCGATGCAACCCAAAAAACAAATTTCATTTACGCCTTTGATCCAAATTTAAATTTATTTAAATTAAGATTTGCAAGTTGAATCCAATGTATCATCTTATGTCACTCTGACATCAGCGCAGAGAACGATCATTAGTGCCATTCTTGCGAAATGATAGAGAAATTAGAGAAGTCTTTTCGGTGTAAACCCAATAGAAAATGTATAAAAGAATAAAACATTAAAGGTAGACAAACAGTTTTTTTTATAAATCATAAATTGCTTGTCAAAGCACTGTCAGATAATAACATAACTTGGATTGCAAATACAAATCTTAATTAAAATTAGATCAAGACGTAAATGAAATTTGTTTTTTGGGTTGCATCGCCAGTTCGTCAAGCTCATATCTTATCTGAATTGCCCTGTATTTTCAAAGTTAAAAATTCAAAATTTTTAATTTCGCGACAATTCGCACTAGAATACTTTTGAAATTGTCCACCAGAGAGCAATTCCAAATACCCACCAAGTAAAATTACTGGATTTATTCTCTAAAAAAGCAACACAAATCAGTTAAAACTTCTAATTAAAACTTAAAAAAAACCAAAGTAATTCGTAACACATCAATCAAGTCCCACACATCCCTCCTCCGCAAAACTAGGCCTATTAACTGTTCCCAAACTCCGTAATCTTAAAATGCGAAACATTTCCATCAACGCCCACTTTTCCCTCCCTTTTTCGATTATAAATCTCGTCACATATACGAAAACAATCCATTAAATTTCCTTCGATGTACAATACCAGCTGGTGGGTGGGCCGTTAACACCGACATCTTTACTGTTACTACTGTTCCAGTAACCTTGACTCTTCCGGATCGCGTTTCCGATCGATTCCGGTGCGTTGCCCCCGTAATCCGGATGGGTTCGGCGCCTATGATGATTCGACAGAATTTCGCAGACGAGCGGAGGCGAAATTCGGTTCAATAGTTCAACTTCCGTTTAGGGGGTTGAACATGGGCGGCTCGTCGATAGACAGGGCACTGACATGGGATTTTTGTGAAGATTATTAAAAAAAAACAACCTTTTTTGTTTATTTACCTTAAAAAATGTATAAATACACGTTTCGCATTATACAAAGTATAAAAATATGAAATAATCACATAATCAAAGAGTAGAAATTATAATTATCATTACAAATTTGGTTATAGTATATTACAATCGAGGGGGGAAATATTATTTTATTACTTCGAAAACTCCCACCCAAGTTTGTGTGCTAATTTATTCACAATCACTTTATAATATTTATTTTTAAATCATAATTTTCACAAGTTGCTCATCTTGTCATTTCTGGGCCACGTTGTACAATTTTTTATAAATTTATAATATAGTTAAAAAATCAAAACAGCAAAATGTAGAAATTTTTAGCTCATGATATTTATGTAATTAGAATTCAGTTAAAAAATTAAATAAACACTCATGAAGATAAGGCGTGGCCTAATTCTCAACCTGATAATAAGATAATCCACCTAGAATAAAGTACAGCTACTGTAAACTGTAAATTAATCATTTATAAGGTTTCATAAATTAAAAATCAATAACGTGTGGTTTAATGCACGTTTTTCCTGCGTAGGTATACTAAAAATCATCGTCCATATTATGCACCAAAAAAACTTCACTTGGCAACGTTCCACAGTCGGTGTCTTTGACACGTGTCGAAATTTAATTTTAATACCGATCATCACAAATTAGGACTCTCAAAAACAGTCCTTTACGTTGTGTTTATTTTGAAAATTCGTTTTTTATTTTCACAATTCAGTAGCATCAAACATAAAGTTAGTAAAGGTTCCAAAATATACAGGGTGACATTTTGTGACATGTTGACATTTATTTTTTGATATTTGACATTCTTTTGTATGTCTATTTAATGATACTGATGATCTTGTACCTATATGTTTTTTTATAATTATTTAGTAAAGGTATAAAAAATTATCCAATAAAACACAAAATCACATAACAGAGTTCTAATCGCCTGAAGCAAAAAAAAAACTAGAAAACTATTTTTCCAATAGATGTGCAATGTGCGAAATTTAAACTCTCATAACTTCGAAATTTTTAAAGGTAGAATTTTTTTAACATTTTTCCCATGTTCCTGGTATCTTACTTTACATGGCATTTTTCTTTGGGGCGCGACTTCTGGCGCCCCCTGTATGTTGTCAATAGTTATATCTAGATGTGAAGTTACGTTTGAAAAACAACAATAAAAATAACATGAGTTTTCTTAATGAGTGTAGTATCAATTTTTAAATGTTTAACTATTCGCATTTACTTAGTCATTGACAACGTATGTCTTTAGCGCATGAGAAATGTCTAAAAAAAAATTATTTTCACACATTCCAACCCATAGGTCACAGCATGACTCTCACCGCGAAGAAAATTGCAATTTTCCCGACAGTGAAAGAAGAAAAAACCGAACCGATGAGATTTCTCTCGAGTCTTGGCATCCTTTAAGTAGGTAATCGGGCTGCCGTCTTAAATTACGATCAAACTCGGTCACTTTATTGTTTCACTATCGATACCAACATTACGTGAAAACAGCAAAACAAACACAAAATTGAGGAAAATTTTCAGTTTTATAAAAGAATGACTAAGAATCTAAACAGCAGATCTTGCTTTTGACGTATTCACAAAACAAATTTGTTTTCCTTATCACACGATATAAAGTAATAGAAACTGTAAGATTTTTCTTAAATGTGAAATAAACAACAGTGCAAAATGAAGATTTTCTTCTCTATAGTGGCCCTAACGGCCCTTTTTGTAAATTCACAATCACAGTTATTTGTGCCGGCTAATGTCCTCATACCGGTATACAATATTTCGCGTCCGGCCCTTAACCACACCCATTGGAACCCACCGGCCCTTAACAACACGCATTGGAAACCACCGGCGCTTAATAAGACGGCCCCTAACGTGTGGAATTACACAACTCCCAGAGGTGACGTAATAATTGGAAACATCGGAAATTTGGATAGGCTACTATTTAATCAGGTGATTGCAAAACGGCCCCCAAAAAATAATAATTTCCCTAATTTTCAGGCATATTACAAACCGAGTCGTTTGTGGTCCAGCCGAGAAAAAATCATCGAATATCCCAAAGATGGAAAATACGGTTATAACAGTCACGAGACGATAAGTTCAATCAGAATTTATAACCAATTCAACAATGGTTTAGATTCGAAAGCGGAAATTTTGTCAGGTGGAGTCGGTTCTAAATTTGTCAAAATTAAATTGTCTTCCCGTCGAAACAAAGGTTTCAGGTATTTAGTCCATATTTTCGGACACTAATGTGTAATATTTAAAATAAATGATGGTGAAGGGAATTTATTACTTGTTTTTACGTTAAAAAGTTTAATTTTGATGAAAAACACGTAAATTACAGTTTTAAATAATAAATTTTACGTCGCAATTCAGTGAATCACTGGGTACATAACAATGATGAAAACAGCTCAATCTAAAAAACGTGATTTTAACATGGGGAAAAAATACCAGGTGAATAAAAAGTATGGAACCAAACGTTTAAACTATTAATTTTTTTGAAAAACTAATTGATGAATGATAAAGTACCATAAAAATGTGACGTTTTATCAAAAATAAATTTTTCGAAATTTTCGTGTTTTTGAGTTCTGCTAAAAAAAATATTTTTTAAAAAAAGGTTATTATAATCTAAGAATTACAATTATCTACTTTATAGCCAATTTTAATCACATTTCTTTTTACAAAAGTTGCCGTTTTGACAAAAAAAATCGCAAAACTCAAAAACAAAACAAACAAAGTTTCATTCTCAAAAGGTATTACTTTAATTTATATTAATTATTATTTTCTAGAGCAAATGATTAAAAAAAACGATTGGTTCCATATTTTATATTCTCCCTGTATATGTATAGTGTGCCAAAAAAAGAATAAAAAACAACAAATTATAGAAGATACCTAAAAATAATATTCAAAGACTTTTAAAAATCTGACTTCATACAAAAGTATTTTTAAAATATTGTCAATTCATTTGTTTTTTTATTACTTTTTAAAAACAAAAAGATCCGTTTTTGAAAAACTTAGAAATTCCTCTACATTTACAAACTAATCCACCTGAAAATAAAAATAAAACTCTGTTTTGTCGAAATTTTTCCGTCGAAGAAAACCCACAACACTAAATAAAAGCACGTCAAAAAACCAAATTTGTTTTTCTTATCTCTGACCCAATCACCTTTATATAAAAACCTCGTGAGTTTTCTCACCACTTTCAATCACCGAACCATGAAAGTGCTCCTATGTGCATTATTTCTATCGACATTATTGTTCTTTGCAAACTCTCAACTTCATTATATCCCAGCCCAAATCCTCATTCCAGCCCTCAACGTCTCAACAGTTCAAATCGCCCACAATGCAACCCTCAACCGAACAGAAAACACCAATCACACCGGCTGGAATAATCCTCGTTTGAATAAAACGGGTGAGGATACTTTAAATGGGACAAACTCAAATGGAGATTTGATCGTTGGGAAGATCAGTCCCATGGACCATCGCCTATTTAGACAAGTGAGTGGTGAATTTCTCTTAATTCAAATTTCGAAAATTCATACAGGTGTATATGAAACCGAGAAATTGGTGGTCAATGGGTGAAAAATTCGTTCAATATCCTCACGATCTTCCGGGGAGTTATGGACGACATGAGACGATTTCCGCAGTGAGGGCTTTTAATCAATTCTACGATGGTTTGGATTCGAAAGCTGAGGTTGTGGCAGGAGGTGTGGGGAAAAAATTTGTGAAAATACGACTTACGTCAGGGTGGGGAAGAGGATTTAAGTATTTGGTTGTTATTTATGGACACTAATAGTGTAATTATCAATTTAAAACATCACAATAAAGAAACGCTTCTGGTTTTACTAATTTTTATTCCGGAACTGCGGCTCCTTTTCCGGTTTGGTAGATCACAGCAGGTGTTGATAGACATTGCCATTTCCTAAAAAAGCACAGCTTGGCATACCTCCAATCGAGGTGGTGCAAGCTGCAGCCACGGCCTCGTTTTGCTCCTTTCCCGTTTTGTTGCGATTATTTTTGAAATGTTAGACGATCTCATCTCTTTGGAGTATTTCGAGCGGCTCGCAACCCAGTGATATTAATTAATTTCGTAAATGGTCGGATGCATTACGACGCTAATTAGCGTGGCTATCGAAGAGAAAAAAACGTGTCACTGATTTTTTTTTCCTTTCACGAAATATTTATCGGATTTCTAATCAATTTACCGACGATCATCACAACTGCCAATTATGGTTAATAGATAATTGTTTTTTTGCAAAGTTTGAAATTCAATTATGGTGAATGATTATTTTTTTTTTAATTTGGTTAAGGTAGATTGAGTTTTGATGAAAATTAACTTCACGGTGATGAATAATTGGGTTGGTGAATTGTTTAATAATTCCCACGATTGTAAGGCTTGTTGTCGATGGTTAACTACAGAGTCTGCTTGAGCGGTGAAACAAGCCAAATTCATTAAATAAATGTTACTTCTAATTGGACTAATAAGGGGAATTTATAAAATAAACGCCACGAGTTGGTATTAATTAGCATCTGTTTTTGACATGGATAGATACAATCTTATAAACGGAAATAAACAAGCAAAAATTTGGTTATTTTTTGGTTTGGAAAGTTCATGTCTGTTTTTTTTTTGAATTTTTGTTGCTTCTAATATTCTATTCCACATTTTTTGTTGTTTTTTTGTATTTGTCAAGCTCATTTTTTCACTTTCTAAAACTGTTGGAATTGAAGGACCATTAATTAATTAATTAATTTATTTATTTATTTATTTTCTTTCTGAGTAACTTACAGAGCTACTGTTTCAAGACTACTGTACCAAACTTAAAAACTACACTTCATGAAGCTAAGAAAAATGTGTTCCTCAGATGGGGTGAACAAAAACCATTAAAATTTAAATTTAAAAATTTTGATTAAAAATGAAGTATTTTTATTGAATTTGACATTACAAAAAAAAACGAAGATAAAAAGTTTCAACATTTAGTGCACTCTATAATCGTTTTATCTTCAATTATCTAAAAATGAGTAACTGTTTATTTAGTTTATGATAAATTAGTACAAACGAAATAAAAATTTTGTAAACTTTAAAATGAGTTTGTAATCATTTTTAATCACAATCACGTAGTAATCAAATTACCTTGCAGGTGGAAAGTAAACATTTCAACTACATTTAATATAAAATATATGAAGATCAGGTTGGGAAGTGGCCACTTCCTTATCAGTTGATATACCAGGTGAATAATAAGTATGGAACCAAGCGTTTTTTTCGTAAACCAGCCACTTTACGAAAAAAATAATTAGTGCAGCGTAAAGTACAATTAAAATGTGACCATTTGTCAAGAATAACATTTTTCGAAATTTCTTTCTTTTTAAGTGGGTTGCCATTTAAAAAAAATATTTTTTTAATGGCAACCCACCATGATAATTTTTTTAATTAGAGATTATGATCTAAAAATAACCTCTAATTAAATAAAATTGTTTTTTAGCCAGTACTTTTTTTCAATAAATTGGTAAAGTTGCGTTCCGAGCTCATCACCGAAGGGGTCATTTCATGCATTTGGTCCTTGGAGAACCCAGTTTTTGTGCAAGTGCTTTGGGGTTGTTCCGAATAGATCAAAAATCCATTTTCTTCTATTTTTAGTCTATTCGAAACCACCCCAAAGTATCTGCATAAAAATCAAGGCTCTCTCATGATCAAATGCATGAAAGGACCACTTCGGTTAAGTTCGGAGAGCTCAGAACGCAACTTTAATAATTTATTTAAAAAAAGTACTGACTAAAAAACAATTTTATTTAATTAGAGATCATATTTAGATCATAATCTTTCATTAAAAAAATTATCATGGTGGGTTGCCATTAAAAAATTTTTTTTCCAAAACTCGAAAACTAAAAGAAATTTCGAAAAATGTAATTGTACTTTACACTACATAATTATTTTTTTCGTAAAGTTGTTACTTTCCGACAAAAAAAAAGCTTGGTTCCATACTTTTTATTCACCTGGTATAATATGACAGTTCAGGTTGGAAAATGGCTACTTCTCAACCTAAACTGTCATGTCTAAAAGTTTTTGATAAATTCTTCATTGGCTTTCTGATCTCTAAAGAGAATGATTGTGAGTGAAAAAGTATACAAATCTTAGTGGTCGTTGCTTCATTTCGCGCCTTAGTAATACTTAACTAAAGCACCTCCCACCTCGGTATGTAATCTACTATTATTCACAATCACTATAGTAATATGGCGATTTCTTTTAGAGGTCGGGAAATATATCATTACATCCCTTGGTAGGGAAGTAATGTATGAAAAATTACCAAGGTTATGAGCCCATCGAATGTCAAAAACGCAAATACGTCATAATCTTTGACATCCACCAATACTCCCGGCAACTTATAAGCAAAGTAAAAATTTAAAAAAATACTCTCAACTCTCATAATTAGACGATATAAAAATCTAACTTACATTTATCAAAAATAATTAAACATTAATTTCACGTACATCGCTGCATTTAATTAGCGGATTTCAAGCTTGAAGCACTTATTTTAATTTTTCTCTTGCTATTAAATAAACTTCCTGTACTGTTTCTTACCCTTCTCAAACCTCCAACACACTCAATAATCTATATGCAAATTGAAAACCATCAACCTGTCAACGCAAATCCTACTCGTTTCAGTCCCATTTAGATCAATCTCTCAGACGCAAACCAGATAAATATCTTCATTAACGTTTCCATAAAGAGCAAGATTATAGTTTTCAATATGAATCGCAACCGTTATTAAAAACAGACCAATAAAATGAACACAAACACACAATATTTACCCAATCACATAAACAAACATTTACTGAAAAAATGATACACAATCACATGTGTGAAAAGAAAATGTAAACTGAAACATGTAACAAAGATACGTTTCAATTCATCGAATTATAACTATCTGTTACTCGAGATAAGATAATCCGCCACTGGATACTTTGGATTTGACCCCTATTGAAATGACTAGGTGTCGATTTTTTGGCAATTGCATCACTTGAGAGTGTGTTTTTTTTTCCTTCGTATTTTTATCTTTGGCAAAGTCTCAATTTTTCCAGGTTAGTGACTCTGCAATTTTTCTTTCAACAAGGCCACCAAGATGACAATTTCCCTGTTTATTTTCCATTACAAGCCGTGACAGATCGTTCCGTTAGGATTACAATCAGCGGTGTGGAACGCAATGCGAGTTTCTCGTTTTTACCTTTTCTGGTTTGGTGATTTCGACGAGGAGAAAAATGATACGGAAAGAGAAAACTCGACCGATTAACACTGACGGTGTTATTATGAAAGTTTTCTTATCTTATCGGTAGAAAAACGCTCTTTGGCGGTTGTCGACCGGACGAAGACGATATGATAGAGAAAATAAAGAAGAAAAAAACTAGACGTGGTAATTAATTACGAATTAATTAGTTAAATGTCGTGTATTTGAATTATTTTTCCGCATAACTTGCGTTCCGAGATTATTGCTGCGTGTCGACCATTTCCGGGCGAAATTTCATCCTCAATTAACGTTTTGATAGCGGTAGCGAGGTCACTGGGGGTGGATTTTAATAAGTAAAAACCGATATCACACGAGAGATTTGAATCAGAAATATCAATCAATTTAGCCAAATTTTTGACTTTAAATTTTAAAATCCTTTTCTTCTTTCCTATTTTTTTAATTCATTGCATTCACTAATTAAAAAAATAGAAATTAATTTTTCTAAAGATTCTATTGCACCTGTTGACATAGATTGTAGACAGGTAATTTATTTTTACCAATTTTTTAAATTCTTTTAGTCATAATATCAAAAATTGTAAAAAACGCTTAGTCAAAAATAAAATAAAAAGTCAATTGATATGTTTGTGAAGACCCCAAACTACTACAGACTGCAAGCTAACACAAAATCTCCTTGACATTCTATTTTGTTACTACCATCAAAAAAATCTAATTATTTTGTTATTTATTTTATTTTTATGGCATACGAAATTACATTTATTTTAATTCCTCTTAAAACAATTTAAAAAATTCACAAAACTGAAAAAACAACATACAGGGTGCGCCAGAACTCGCGCCCCAGAGAAAAAAAAAGTAAGATACCAGGAACATAGAAAAAAAGTTAAAAAATTCTATCTATAAAAAGTTAAAAGAGTTTAAATTTTGGACTTTGACTCTATTTATATCTGTTGTAAAAATAATTTTCCAACTTTTTTTGAAACAGGCTATTAGAAGAGGAAACAAGATAGCTGTATCCTTAATTGTAACTCTGTTTAATGTTATTTGTGGCTTTTATTGACAAAATTTTTGTACCTTTTCCTACGACCATATACGAAACTAGATCATAACGCACAATTACATAGCGCGAAAATTGGCAATATCGTACGAGGTCAAAAACCTGTGCAATTTGTTTTCGCACTGTGTGTTAGAAATCTAACACACAATTCACACTCGAATGTTTTGTATTTTTTCATTCAACGTATTTTTTTTTTTGTATCCATTATAAAAAATAAATCGTTATTCAACGTATTTTTGTATTCATTATAAAAAATAAATGGTTATGAAAAAAAAATATGTTCGTAAGAAAAAAATTATTTATGGTCAAGATCATCAGTACTATTAAATATATAAAAAAGTGTCAAATGTCAAAAAATAAATGTCAAAATTTTTTGACAGATATTTTTTTTAAACATTTATCCATGTTCCTGGTATCTTTTCTTGAAATTTTTGTCTGGAGCGCGAGTTCTGACACTGTATATTGCCTCTCTTTTTCGAACTAATTGCCAATTGGGTTTAAGGACTCTAATGTCATTTGTTTTTCAGCTATTTTTTGATTAAATTATGATTCAGTTTTATCTTTTATTATTATTCATTCATTATTCTTATATTCATTCATTTATATTTCAGTAAATTCTTTCTATTTTGTATTTTTTCTATTCTTTCAATTTTGTAACACATTTCAGTATAAAAATAATTGTATTCTCTTTTAAAGTCACTTTTTTGATATGTCGTTTAAAAAACAAATATGTAAAGCTTATACAGGATGTCTCGGCTAAGACTCCCAAAATTAATATCTGTCTTATTAATAGAGCAAAAAATTTTTAATTTCCTAAACAGTGCAGAAAATTAAAAGAGCATTTTAATGACTAAACGAGTGTATTTTTTATTGAAATTTAACTCAAAAAAATTGGTTTGTAAAGAAGCAATGCAATTTTTTTTTAACTATCGTTTACTTGAAAATGACAATACATATAATTACAGAAATAAAGAAGAAAAATATTAAAATATAATTGAATGAATTATTTCTTCCGGCGATGACTCAAAGAAAACTTCGAGATAAAGACCAAAACGGCATTGTGACGTCACTCGCTGTTTTTTTTTTCTCTCTCTCTCTTTACTCTGCAATGACAAATGAGTGTTGGCACCAAAGTTGGTCTCTAAATATAGGCGGCCGAGCCAACATACATTTACATTATCCACATCTAGTGTTCTATGGAAATGGCGAGAGTTTATTGTGCGATCCGACGTTTCGACGGCGGGACGTTTCGATCGTGTCGGCATCCGCAGTGTGGGCCGATGACTCATCAGGATCGCGTTGGCCGAGAAAAAACAACAGCAGCCACCCTTGATCTCTCCCCCATCAACGCCACCTTGATGCAAACAAAATCACTTTGCGGTCGATTCACTGTATACATTTCGAACTTCAATGTGGGTGTTTATGACCCAAACGAATTCCTCTCTTAACTACATTTTAAATCTGGAAGTTTTTTCACCCAATTTGATACATTTTATGACAATCAGAGGCTAGAAATAAAATCGTTCTGTACCGGAATTTTTTTTTTACATCTGGTTTCAAGTTTAATGTTCTCCACACTTCGAGTTATAAATATTTAAAAATGACACGTGATTTTCACAAATATTAAAAAATAAGTAGGTGTTGTTTTAGGTGAAATTTAAATTTGGAAAAAGGTTGATGAGTGACAGTGTGATAAAAGTTGTGAGTAATTTTTAGACTAATGCCAAGTCGCAAAAAATTATTTATAACTCAAACAAAGAATTATTCAATATTTTAGTTATAAATCGTCTCAAATAGACAATTTACTTTTAGTTATTTCTAAAAATACAATTCTAGAAATTCAAAGAAAGCAAAAATACTGTTAATATTTACTCCAAATTTCGATTTGTTATCATCAAACTTGACAGTTTTAAACAAATATCGCGAACAATAATAATTTCACTTCGTTACAAACCACAACACATTTTCGAGTACAACTATTTTGGCTATTAGTTACGTGTCGTAAACATTAATCACTTCGAAAATAAAGTCAATTTAAATGCGCACTCAACTCTGAAAAACATTACTTCGAATTACCAAATAACGGTCATATTGACCATAAAATCTTCTCAAATTACCAAACGGTACAAAAGGACTTCAACTTTGTTACATTTGATGAATATTTTAAACTGTTCCATTGATTCTAATGCGAATTCGGGACGGACTTTGTACAATTTTAGAACTTACCTCATTGATTGAATGATGAAATTATTTTGAGTGTTTTATAAATTAACCGAGTTTGCGTAAATGTATATAAACGGTCGGAAAATTAGTTAAATGCCACTAATTCGCAATTAAATTAATTAAATAAAAAGACTGGACAAATCGAAAATTATACAGAATGAGTCATGCAGGATGTCACTAATTTACAAAAAAAATATTTAAAAATATTTTTGTAATCTGATGATTAGAATCAATAAAACAGAATTGATTACTTAAATAATTAAAATTTCAAAATTATCAACAATCGATATTGTTTTATATAAAATGTAAAATTCGGGAAAAATATAAACCAACAATGAAATGTTTTAAACTATACATACAGGTGTCCCAGCGAGTTGAAAAAGTCCATTAGTGACCTTTAAATGATAAAATATATAAAATAAATAGGACATTGATAGATACTAATCTAGTCCATGCCCAAAATTATTTTCAACTATACAGCGTGTCTCAAAAATATGTTACAATACAAACTTGTGTTTTTTTAAATAAAACACCATAGGTTTCTTAGCATTTTTGGATGTAGATTTTTATGACAAACTTAAACTAAACTTGTATTGATCGATTTTGCTTAATTTTAGAAATATGACGGTTTTTTGACAACTTTTTAACTTTTTAAAATTTTTAAACTTTTTAAAAATTCATTACACAAAAATTAAGACATCTAGAAATATTTTTTTACTACTGCAAAGAAGAAGGTGCAAGCTATGAGGTTGTAATATTTTTTTAGTGTGTTGCATTTGTAAAGATAAAAAAAATAATTTAAAAAATTCAAATAGAACACCCTATTTATGGTTTTTGCATTTAAAAGATTATTAAATTGTCTTTCTAAAATTATTTTAGGTTATTTCTAAGATTATTTACTTTTAGGTGTTTATAATCAATAACTCAAAAGATATTTAACGTTAAACATTAAAAAAAATTACTATTGTTTCAGGGGCCAAAAACTACACAGTTGCACAAGAGATGGAAGAAATATCACTTAATAATCACATTTGTGTTAAACTGAATCTATTATTCTTTATTTTTACAATAAAATAATTCGAACTTCAGTATTTGTAATGACTTTTAGAATACCTGGATATATCAACGGATAAGTGATCCGTGGCGGAATTACTATGGTTGCCATAATATCAACAATGATAATGAATGCTACAATTAATATTGAATGATAAATATCTTTTCATTTATCAATTCTAGACATTAAAAGTTTATTTTTTAGATAGATTAAAAAAATCTATTAGATGCAAAAATAAAAAATAGGGTGTTCCATTTAATTTTTTTAAGTTATTTAACTTTTAAAAAACTTCTTAATTTATTAATCTTCACAAATGCAAAACACTAAAAAATTGCTACAACTTCAAATTCTGTACTTTCTTCTTTGCAAAAATAAGAAAAAAATTGTTCTAGTTTTTGTGTAATAAATTTTGAAAAAGTGCATGTTCTCGTAAAAAAAAACGTCTTATTTTTAAAACTAAGTAAAATCGACCAATAAAAGTTTAGCTCAAAAACATAGTCATAAAAATCTACATCCAAAAACGCTAAGAAACATATGGCGTTTCATTTAAAAAAACACAAGTTTGTATTGCAACTTATTTTTGAGACACACTGTATAGTTGAAAATAATTTTAGGTGATGCAATACATTAGTATCTATCAATGTTCTATACAATTTTTTTTAATTTAACCATTTAAAGGTTGATGTTCCAGGAAGTCGATTGGCGTCGTCAAAAACAGAAAATCCCGAATAGTATACAAATTATCGACGATTTCCAAATTATTGACAATATTTATGATTTTTTCGGTAACTATTAGTCAGAAAACCATGATTTCTTTTTCATATGTAGCAAATTAAACGTGCTTTGCAATGGTGCTAAATATACGATGCTAGAACCAGTAGTTCCAAACTTATATCCGATTAAAAAAAAACTCAGGTCTCAGTGTCAAATGTCAAAAAATAAATGTCAAAATTTTTTGACAGATAGATTTTTTTAAACATTTTTTTCATGTTCTTGGTATCTTACCTTATTTGAAATTTGTCTCTACGACACATTCTATGTATGTTACAGAAATAAGTATGTACATGAGTAGAAATGTAACTATTTATCCACATTTTATTATTAAAAACACTGTATAAAAAATTAGAACACAACAGTTTTTTTGTTTTTATTTTATCACAAAAAGACGCTAAACAAATGTTGAAATGTTGCCCAAAACGCAATTTTTTATAAAAAATAATTAGGCAAAATGAAATAATAAGTAAATGGAATGATTAATCATGGAATCAACGTTCATTTGCCCGAATCCATTATGACTTAAAAAAAATGACGCTCCTACTAGAAAAAACCCTTTTGTTGGCAGGTCTTCGATTCGCATTCTTTTACAAAGTCACATTTCATTGGCATTAATAACATTATTACAAGGAAACGTGGGAAATTTATGATAAATAATACCGCTGCAATTACGCCCAGAAAACAATGCGCATTGCAAGGACAAGCAGCAAGGATAAAAACAAAAGACACTCACTTCCGGTCCAGGCAAGCTAGATCCAAGATCGATGATCCTCCAATCACTGATTCATCACGCACATGCAACAAAAAAATAATTTTCACGCACTCACGCACGGCGTCCACACTCGACGGATTCCCACAAACGACTGAAATAAAGATATTTGCTCGCGATGCGAAACTTTCCAATTCGTCGGGACTCCGGGGGAATTTTCGGGGATTTAGCGCCACACAACGGGGTTATTTGCCCATTGGGGTTTCAGGGGTGGGTTTTACTTACATAAAAATCAAAAACTAACCTTCAAATGAATCGATCGGATTCGGGCTGAGGTCACGCACGAGGAGTGAACTTCACTAGAGTCTAAAAAATCGACGGGCTTTACGTCCAAATTATAATTTTGATATTTCTTTACATTATGTTGGTTTATTTATGAAATTTCTTGTGCGAAAAAACACTCTACAAACGTCAAACTCGCAAACTGACATTTGGACTATTTCGAGCAGTGTTGCCAACTGAATGTAGACAAAATCGGAAAGCTTTTAGGAGATTTGTTGATCTAAAATCACTAAACAGTGGAAAATTTCAAAATTATAACAAAAATCAATTTTTATTAAAAAAAAAATGAGTAATTAATAAATAATAACTGATACAAATTCTGCATTACCGGTGAAAGCAGTTTGAAAAATAAATGTACAGTTGCGGAATAGAAATTTCTCGCAGTATTGTCATTTTCATAATGTAAACTCTAAAACAACCTTTACATCAAAGAACAAGGATAGATATTCTAGTTCTTTGCTTTACATCAATAACCTCATTTTTGACTCTTGTCATGTTTATACAATTTTGACTTATTTATTTTAAAAAATAGTGATTTGTGGCATAATAACGGGTAGGCAGTAGATCAAAGCGATGATTCAATTACACTTAGTACTTTTAATAAATTTCCTAAGACAGACAAAAATTGTTTCATTAACAATTTTCAAAACAAAAAAACTAATTTTCAAATGTCAGTCATGATGACAGTAAAAGGTAGTTTATAGTGAACTTCTTAAAGTGACAAAAAAGTACTGCCCGAAATTTTAATTCCGCAACCGTACACCAACATCGTGATGCACAGTATAGAAAATGCAATAAGCAATATTCCCGCAATTTCTGGAGATTTTAAGATATCAGAAAATCTTACTAAAAATCGATAGACCTCCCGACAAATCAAAAAGGTTGGCATCACTTATCCGGAGAATTGACAATAGCACCGTGCGATCAAATAAAAAATAAACTAGAGTAGGCGTCGATTAAATTCTACAGTTGGCAACACATTAGCTGGGAATCTGGGCTGGAAATTTTTCACACGAACTGAAAGTGAAAATGACCATCCACTGTTTTCCTCTTGTACAGCAATAAAAATTTTCTGCTCTAAAGTGAACATTAATTCACTCAAAAGGAATAAAACGCAAACTTGTCAAAGTTTCCGCTGACATTTGATGTCAAAAATCAGGATTGCCATCTGAAGGACTTTAATCACCGCCTACTCTAATTTATTTTCTTTTTGATCGCACGGTATTTGTAAAGTCCTAGGGTCATTATTTGGGCAACCTCTGGTGGCGAAAATTCAAGCCCATTGACATAAAAACTGAGTAGATAGTTTCTGCCAAATTAAAAAAATTACAATAATATTTTACACTGAATTTTTTGGTCATAATTTTATAATTTTTCTAGTTCTGTGTGTCGCTTTGCACTAAAATATTGTTTTTGTTTTTTGTAATTTTAACAAAAAATGCCACTCAATGAATTAACAAAAATAAGATTGCTGAAATGTACAGTTGGAGACAAAATACTTTGGTCGTCACTTTTCTAACACTTTAATGTAAAAATGAATGACAATTTCAAACTAATGACAGCTATTATATCTTTCTATCAAAAATATGTACAACTTGTCAACTATGATTGACAGTAGCTAAAAATAAGGTTAACAGTCCTAAAGCATGCTTTACAATTTAATGTCACTCAAGTGACATTGACGACCAAAGTATTTTGTCCCCAACTGTACGACTCACAGTAAATTTTTTTAAATGTAATGTCAAAAAACAAAAAAAAAAGATCAAAAAAGCCTTTTAAACATTTTATTTGGTCTTTTGTTTACACTTTATACACGACCCAACAACTCTACCTTTACAAATTACGTTACGTCCGTAGCGAACGCCATTATTTTACAAAACGCTGTATAAATACACAGTATCAAACAACAAAACAACTGACTTGATTGTACAACAAACAGAACAACAAAGGTGCATAGAAACGACAGAGAAAACCCATTGACTAAAACGTAATTTATTGCCTATCAACCCTAAGCATTATTTCCAAGCCTGTCTTAGCGCCTTTTTGGCCGCCAAATACTTGGTCACATATGAGGCTATAACCAGTCCTGCCAAAACCAAAACGATCAACCGGTGATCAAAGTCTTCTTTCAACAAATCGAAAGTCTTAGATGGCGCCACTCGAGTATAAAACATGTCCAACCCGTGGACTAACACATGACTTGTACTCTCTAACTTGGCAGGGGCTACTTCGATCTTGCGAATTCTTGCTAAAGTTTGGTTGTAGTTGATTGTGGCTTCGGGGGGTAAGGAGATTTCCGGTAAGTAGGGGAAACAACTCTCTTCTGGACCACAAGGCATGTCGGCGAATCGTGGCTGAAGCAACATCCAAGGGATTTCCACCACACTCCCGGAACTCATCCCAACTAACAAAAACTTATTCGTGATCCCTCTTTCAGTCAAGGTCACTGACATCGACACGGGATTGGCTGGTAGGATATATGACTCGGTTTTGACCTGTGGCAACTGACTTATACCGAAAGAACTAAACACTGTACTATTACTCTGACTGGAGCCTTCGTACATTTCCGCCGAAACGATTTCGGTTCTTCGGAACCTCTCGTTGAAGAAAGTATAAACGAGCCAATTCTCCGAGTGTACTAAATGTACCGGACCTTTGGCCTTCTTATGTGACGTCGAATAGACCACAAAACCGGTCACTCCGTCAACTAGAAACACACTGAGGACACTTTTATGCACCGGATCATCGCTCAGTGTTGCCAACGCAATCAAATTCGGATTAACATACTTGTAATGGACTGATCGATCATGGAGGACACGACCCTGCGAATGGACTCGCTCGGCCATAGGACGTGTACTAACACCCACCAATTCTGAGAGTCCTAAATTTAGGTTCCACACAGGTTTTAACCCAAAATCTGGGTCAAGTCTATAACCCTGAACCAAACTCTTCCCTATAGTATACACGTAGGAGTTCCTCCGGACGATTTTCCGGTCACTTTCCGGGTAAACATGGACGGAGTCATCCGCACCAATCACCACCACCGGTTTGAGATGATTCTCATCCTCATTGGGCAACAAAAACGCCTGTTTGACTCTATAACCCAATCGTTGCAAGCCACGTGACGCTCCACTAATCGGATCAAAGGCGAACAAAATCCCCCCTCCTGTTGTTGCATCCTCGGCCAATAAAACACACTGGGCGGGTAATGGGGCGTGTCGCGCTGTCCTCTGCACCAATAGCATCATTGTGACGTCATTAAAAGCCTTGACATTGGGTAAACGATAAGTCCAAACAATTGAACCGTTATGTAAAGTGTCAATTCCGAATAATTTTCCAACACTTGTTGCTACGACAATGATCCGGTGTAACCCGAAGTCGTCCCGAATCGAACCGAATTGACCGCTCACCAAATTGTAGAATTGTTTGGTTTGGGTGGAAATGCGACGGGTGAACATTGTCATGATGTCATTGGAGGATTCTGTAAACTCGTTTTCGATACTAACTTCAAGATCTGAAACAGGTAATTCGAAGAATTCGACTGAAACGATGTTACTTAAGGCCTCTTCGCGGGTCCAGGAGACTTTGCCTTCAGGGAGGCGGACTAGAGTGAGGGCGTGGTCAGTGCTGGAGAGGAGGAGCTCGCAGGAGGGGCCTCGACACTGCCCGGAAACTATATAAGGCCCCCCGAGACCCAAAGGATAGTCAATATCGACCGAAATTTCACTCTGACCAGTCAACAAATTAAACGATTTCACTCTTATCAACTTCTCCATGTTATCCAAATTGGCCTCGAGTTGAAATACAGAATTTCCGATTGAGACAGCATTTGGTGACAAGTCATGTGGTAAAACTGAGCCCCCAATTTCCACGATTTTCGCCTTATTGTGTCTCACGAGCAAGACAGAAGGTTTGGGGCTATCAAATTCGAGTAAATTGCAGTCAGACAAGCTTTGAATCGAGTGACTGTTGCTCTTGGAATCCTCATTAACAACATCAAACCAGAATAATTGTCCATTAGAGAGGCAAACGAAGTAAGGGTTGGCCGTTGTACATTTCTCTGAGACCCAAGTTTCGGGGATTTTCCGAGTTTTCTTGCGGATTTCCCCCGTTTTGAGACTAAAATGTGTGATTTCCATATGTGAGCCTGGAACTGGTGCAATGTGAACCAAAACGTCGCCTTTGAGCATCCAGAACGAGTCACCGCTCCGATCGAGCACCAGAGGCCACTCCCAGAGAAGGCTTCCAGAAGGGGCATCCCACCCACGTACATAGAACCGGGTTTTGGCCCCCGAGACAGTCACCACGTCCCTGTCCACGTGCAAAAACTGCGGCTGGTGCTCCTGTGGGTGCTCCATGAGTTGGCGCCATAAAATTTCGCCGGTTTTAGGACTCAAACTGGCGACGATGTTCTCGTGTGTGGTCACAATCAAGCGGTTGTTGTCGAATTGAGCGTGTTTCACTTTACCGATAAACGAGCGTTTCCAGTCGAATTTTCCTACTTGGTCTTCGTAAATGGCGTTTACTGAGAAAATTGTCACACATATTGTTATTATTTGTCCAAAATTAGCCATTTTTCATACATCGGACATAACCTCTATAACATAACCGCACTTTTTTGATAGTTTTGATTTGACAAGTCATAAAATGCTTAGTTTCCAAAAGTGCCACAGCGATAGTGTCGCTACTATTTTTTTGACTTTTGTAGTTTTTCGAATACACTAAAAAAATGTAGACTTTATTTTTGATTTGTTTATGGTTGGATTTGAAGCCCACACCTTTTATTAATAGTCTTATTGATAGAATGATTGACTAGTCTGTGACGGCAATACAGGTAACTGTAATTACAGGAAAATGCAAAATGGGTGAGTAAAATAATGTTTATTTGTCTTGTAATTTCGAATTAATCGTAATGTACATAATTTTTTTCAGTAGATAGTAGTCTATAAGCTACAAAGAATATTTACAGTAACAACAACTGGACAATAAATGCATTTTTTTCATCGTAGCGTTTGTGACCAAGTTGGTAATTGTTTAATCTCCGTTTAAAAACAAATAATCTCGCTTTTGGTATAAGCAACAGTTATATAAACCTTTGACAACATTTAATGATAAAAATAAAGTGTTAAGTTTGTAAATAAATCGTAAACATTGAGCTAAAGTGACAAATTGCCTAATAAAAAAATTGAAACGTCATGAACACCCACGATGCTGAATAATTGGTCTAAATTGGTCACATATTTACTTGTTGAGACTTTCCCACAACTCGTCATCCCCCCACTTATCATCCCAATTTGATCTCTTCTCTTTTGTTTTCCTCTCCTTTTTAATAGATTTCTGGGTCGTTGAACCGGTCGGTGACGTGGGATTACTTCCGGAAAGGTCCCTAGAATCCGATTGGTAGCCCTGATGATCGCTCTGGTAACCACCCCAACTGCCATCCCAGTTCTGACCCGGCGATTTCGGACTAGACGCCCTTCAAAATCCCCAAATTAAAACCAAACTAAACAAAATTAAATCAATACTTTGAACCCTGTTGACTGCTACAACTCCAGTCTTCATCGCGGACATAACCATTCCCGCTGCTCACCAATGAAGACTTCTCTCCAGGCGAATGGTAATTTTCACCACCCACTTGACCATAGCCCCCAGAATGGTAGTCGCCGGCGCTACCACTGCCAGACACCTCGCGCCAACCTTTCCGACCAAGTTCGCCCATCTATCACCAAGAATTATTTAAGAAAAATGACAATAAAAAGAAAATAAAAATAATTTTTTTGCCTTTTTTTAATTTATTACCTTATTTGAGAGGCTAGATATTTGTGTTCCTACATCTTCTAATAAAGAACCCTCTTTTACCTGACGTAAACATAAAAATCAATAAAAGGAAAATAAAGGAAATTAAAATAAAAAAGAAACTAAAACAAACCTTTTCCCCTACATGTGAGCTAATATCAACTACCTTCTGTGTGGCAATTCCGCCATATTTGACGGCATTTTCGGTCGCTTTGCTTGCCAACTTGCTCGCCGAAGAAGATAAAAATGACCAACCCTGTAAATAAAAAAATTACTATTGAGTAACCAACTTGATAAAAAAATACACTAGCTAGAGACGACATGGCCGTATCGACAAATTCCTGTGACTGGCTCCGAGGGGGCGGCTCCATCGTGTACCCAAACCCGCTGTACTTCCCCCCCTGACTCGGGGGCAAATCCCTAGACAAAACTTTAATTCAAGAAGCTAAAAATAACCGATTTACCCTCTCCTATTGGCATTTTCAGCTTGTTTTTTCGCAAAGAACGCGTCCTTCTGGTCTTTAAACTCCGGCGAGTTGTAATTCTGATAGCCCCCTTGATACGACTCGTTTTGATAAGTGGACGCGTTTGAGTACGAATTGCTACTACTATTATAACTATTAGAGTTGCTAATCAAACTCCCTGTGTAATTCTGAGCTTGGGACGATTTCTCGTCCCAGGACTTCCCCTGAGACAGCGTCGAGATCTTGTCTCGGTAGAGGGCGGCAGCTTTCGTGTTATACTTCTGCTGGATGGTCATATGATCGTCCCAATCGGGTTGAGCTTCGAAGAAAACTCGGGCGTTTCGGTTGCCCCCAACCTTCATTTTCTCCAGTTCTATGTCTTTCCACTTGTCCATTGTGACCGAGCGGACGAAAGACAGGTGCACCCCGAGCCCCCGGTGCTTGCCGGAGCATTCCAGGCAGATCCATATGCCGTAAGTGACGGAGACCCACTGGGGGTTGTGTGTGCCGCACTCGAAGCATTTCTGGAAAGGTAACAAAGAGGAATGATGGCACAAGGCGGAAATGACCCCAATTTACTTACGTCGTTCTCGTTGTGGGGCTTCAGTTCCTGCAAAACACGACGGGTTCGAGGACTCGCCATTTTGGCAAAACTGGCGAATTCAGAGAGGTAAAAAACAGTGGAGTGGAAGAGAGTCAACACGGGAACATGTTTAATACAAAAGAAATTAAATTTCGTTTAAATAAGAGAAATGTCAAAAAATTGTGTTGACGTGTGGGATTGCACAGCGCCGGAGTGTGCGCGAGAAGGAACATGCCGGCAACCGTGTGTCGGTACGATCGAAACCACTATATTACTGTTTTTATTTTTTTTGCAAGAGTTTGATTAATTATTAAGCTATTTATAATGCACAAATTAACCTAGATTAAAAAATATTGTTTAAAACGTAGCTTTTTTAAAATTTTCGGCCTTATGCTCCTTGGCTAGTCGTCAGTTTATTTTTTGACAGGCGCAGGCGCAGTGTTGGCAAACATTTTTCAAATTTTGGAAAAAAATTTTTAAATAAAAATCCAAGAAAGATTCAGTAAGTTAAAACGAAACATTTTTTATGTAGAAACAATTTCGTTTTATATTTTTTAAATACGTAATATTTTTTAATCTTACAGCAAAAAAACGCAAGGGAATTATTTTTGCGTGTATTTACAACAAATAGGTACAGGAATGTTACAGTAAGTACATTTATTACTTCAAATTGTGTCGTAACTCAAACCTACGATCTACAAGCAAGAAGAAAGTCAACTTTGTGACGAGCATACTGTTAAATGTTAACATACACTCCACACAAAACAAAGAATTTGATTTCAAACGAAACAAATTGACTTTTTTAAAGACTAGATTGAAAAACTCTTCTGAAAAAAACAAGAGTTAGTTTAACTTCATGTCAGTCAATGCGAAATCGCATCAAATTTGTGTTTCGGTAGCAATAAAAGCTGTAAAAACCTTGATGGAATGTTAATAACAAAACTCCAACTACGAGTAAACCAAAAAAATCAGATCAGAGCTTAGCACAATCCCCCTTCCAACTCATCATCACTAGCGCCCTCTTTCGGTTCGCCTCTGTCATCAGGTCGATCCTACAACGAATTTATTAGACAATAAAAAACACAATGAAAAATCACCTCAATTGTGGCCGTCGTCTGCGAATTGGGCGAGACATACGATGGCGCCGCGTTCTCCCTCACGCTGGCTTTGGGGGGCGTCGCGATGCCCTCCGGTAGGGGCATATCCCTCGCCAAAATCGCGTATTCCACGTCCATGTGTTTGATAAAGGAGCTGTTGAGAGCCCTTTTAGCCGCTTCGGGGTCCTCCTCGTCGTAGGCTTGGAGGAGCATCTCGAGAGTTTGAACTTCAGGGGCTTCGCAGTAGTTGCCCCATTCTTTGAAGGCTTTTTCGGCGGCTACGACGTCCCCTCGGGCTAACTGGACCAGGACGAGGGCTACGGCCAGCCGGCCAGTGGCTTGATAGGCCTCGTTTTGCTGGTGGAGCCCCAACTCGCGGCGGATGGCGTCCGCGGCGAGGTCATACCTAAAAATAACTCAATGGTTCAATGATTTTTTTTTTAATTTCTTACTGTTGCAATTTGACGTGGAGACGGGCTACTTTGCTGACGTACTCGGCGGCCTGTCTCGAGTTGTCCTGAATCTAAAACAAATCATTCATGATTTACAGATTCCTGTAATACTGAAATGACATTTTGTTATAAAATTACCATTGCGATTTCTGAGGCATGTTGGAAGAGTCTGAGGGCTTGTTCAGGGTGTTGTGCCTCCAAAATCTTCGCTGCTTTATCAAGAGAGGCGGCTGCTGTGTCCCCACTGCCGTGACTTTGAAACATGTTGGCAGCCCTTTCTGCCAAAGACGCAACATCCTGTAAATCCCCGAGTTCCTTACACACCAAAACCGCCTGATCTAAAGCTTTGGCGGCCGAAAACAACCTAATTTCGCATTAAGGAAGTCTCACTAATACAACAAAATTTGGGACGAAAAAAGGATACGCTCTGTTTTGTTTATGACAGTCGACGGATTTTAACAAACACTCCTTGCATTGAACAAAGTTCTTTGCGTTACGAAAACACGTCGCTGAAAGGCAAAACTGAGTAAAACTCACTCAAAAAAGAATTTTTCAATACCTGCTTTGTTGTAATCATCGGCGGCGGACTCGTAGTCAGGTCGCCACTTTAACAGCGATGTTTTAAGACTGGAAAAAAAGGTAATTGAGGAGAGTGATAAAAATGGGGCCCCTTACTGTTTTTCGGCGTTTCGGATGTGCTCCAAGCCTTCCTCATTCTTTTTATTCGCCGACATCGCAGATGTCTGACAAGTGAAACAGATGATTTTTGACAGTGGGCAGGGTGAGCGATGCGCGCACCGCTTTTGACAACCGTTTGAATTTTGGCGCCATATTAAGAAAAAATACTTTATTCAGACTTAGAAAAACAATATCTATACACATGCAGTACAAAATCACTTCAGACTCGATTTGGACAAAATCTTGACAAAAACATCGGCGGTTTCCTGGAGCAGCATCTTCATAATATCGACGGTAACTTGATTCTTGACGATTAATTCATCCTTGTCGAAATTGGTCCATTGAGATTCTTCTTCTTGAGATTCCAACACCAGGACTTCGTCCACGTGGTCCCTCTTCTTGCGCCCCCACTTAATAATAGCACTTTCCGCGACTTGAACTTTTTTAAAACCGAACAATTCTTTCAGTTTGTGGTTGAAAATTTTTTCTAAAGCGCATGAATCAGGAGATTTACTCTTGGTCAATTGCGGTTTTTTGGCAAGAATTAACCAAGACGGTTCTTCCACGACTTCGAATTGTTTGTAATGATCCCTCGCTACGTTTTTACAAATATTGAACAAAAATTCGGCACATATTTTCGATACTTCAACTTTCGAAAACAATTTAAAACCATTTTCAGAGAATTTCACTTTCTCGAGAGTGTTGTTTTGGTAGGCCTTGTAGAGAACTTTCGAGCTATAAGACGCAATTTCGCTGATTTGCTTCACTTCAGTTGGTATTACCGACGGGGGAAAAGAAGAAATGGAAGAAGGGGGAGTATAAGGAGGGGGCGGTTTGTTGGGAATTTCACGCATGAAAACATAAGGGAGTTGTTCCTTCTGTTGCAACTCCAATTGCTTGATCTACAAATAAAAAATATTAAAAAACTGCACAAAAATCGATTTTTTTTACCTCCTGTTCGATAGCCAATTGCTTCCTCCATAACTCTTCAGCTTCGCTTCCGAAAATATCAGTTGGTAATTGACGGCCTTCTAAAGATTCTAAACACAACAATTTGTTTTCACACTTTCGAAACTACTTACCCGAAAATTCCGGTGAATTTGAAGCCCCCACATCATAAGCAGTGACGTAGAGGTCTTGCAATCGCGGACTTTTATCCCCTCGAGTGGGACTAGCATCTGCTAAAATTTCGAAAACTCGTTTCTTGACATCTATCTGATTTTGATTTTTCTTCTGTGGTGTTGTTTCTTCCGTTTCTTCATTCTGGTCACTTACAAGCTTCTCGTTTAATCTACTCAGCGATTCTTCGATTTTTGAAGCAGACTCTAAAGCTTCCTCCAAACTGAGAGATTGACTATCAGAGGAAATATCTTCGATTTGTGTGGAAATTTCTTCAACGATTTTAGCAGACGACACTTCTTCTTTGCTATCTTCCTTATCTTCTCTAAGAGATTCTTTTGTTTCAACAGTCCCCGACTTGTCAGTTTTAGCAGAAACTTCCGTTTCTAGATCTTTGGAAGAAATCTTTTCCGAAGAAAACTGCAACTCGTCTTCATCAACTTTTGATGTTTCTAGATCTTCAATCTTAGAAGTTTTATTCTTCAATAAATCTTTTACGGAATTGTGTGCTTCTAAATCCTCTATTTGAGAAGAAACGTCATGTGTAGCCTCTGACTTGGTTTTTGAAAATTCATCTTCAAGTTCTTCTGTTGTAACAGCTTGCGGCTCTTCTTCAACAATTCTATTCGATTCTCTTGCTGAAGTTACATTTCTAGAAGAAGCTTCAGTTTTTAAAGATCGAGATGAAGAATTTTCTGTTCCTTCGGTGGTAACAGTCTCTGGTTCTTCAATTTTTGCCGATTCTTTTATTGAAGATAAATTTCTAGATAAACCTTCTGTAACAACAGACTTTGTTTTTGAAGATTGAGATACGTCGAGGTCTTCAATATCATCTGTTGTAACAGTCTGCGATTCTTCAGCAGTTTTGGGTTTTCTACAAGAAACGTCTGATTTTGGTTTTGAAGATTCTGATGCATGAGGATCTTCAATTTCTTCAGTCGTAATAGCCTGTGCTGCAAATTCTTGTACTGAAGATAAATTTCTAGATGAAATTTGTGTAGTAACTTCTGACTTTGTTTTTAAAGATTGAGGTGAGTCGGAATCTTCAATACCTTCTGTTGTAACAGTCTGCGATTTTTCAACAGGTTTGGTTGATTCTAAATTTCTAGAAGAAACTTCTGACTTTGTTTTTGAAGATTCTAATGCATTGAGATCTTCAATTTCTTCTGTTGTAACAGCCGGAGGTTCTTCAATTTTTACCGATTCTTTGATTGAAGATAAATTGCTAGAAGAAGCTTCTGTAGCAACAGCGTCTGACTTTGTTTTTGAAGAGTAAGATGCTTCAATTTCTTCTGTTGTAATCTTAGCCGATGCTAAATTTCTAGAAGAACCTTCTGACTTTTTTTTTGAAGATTCTAATGCATTGGGATCTTCAATTTCGTCTGTTGTAACAGCCGGAAGTTCGTCAATTTTTACCGATTCTTTGATTGAAGATAAATTTCTAGAAGAAGCTTCCGTAACAACATCCTCTGACTTTGTTTTTGAAGTTTGAGATGCTTCAATTTCTTCTGTAGTAACACCCTGCGATTCTTCAACAATTTTGGCCGATTCTGAATTTCTAGAAGAAACTTCTGTCTTAGATGCATTGTAATCTTCAATTTCTTCTGTTGTAACCTGTGTGGAATCAAGCGTGGTCGACGATAGAGGCTTCAAGTCTTCTAAATCTTCAATTTTCGAAAAGTTTTTGTCTTCAATTTGTATTTCTTGGTCTTCAAAGTCTTTTCCTTCAGCAGTGTAATTAGGAGTCATATTTTCCGGTATTGACTGACTAGATTTTTTGCTCAATGTGGATATTTCGTCACCGATTTTGGTGAAATTATCAATGAGTTCTGATATGGACGATATCTTTGTCTTTTCTTCTTGGGAATTGATGATTTCGTGGACGGATTCGGCTTCAAACACTGAGGAATAATTCACATCGATCGACTTTTTCACCGACTTTTCACTAACGCCACTGTTCTCAGTCTCGAGTTCACTGAGATTTTTGTTTTTATTCGAATACTGTCTGGCACTCTTACAAACGTAGTGGTCGTTCCTCCATAGTTGATTCAATTGTTTCTTATGTTTATCGGGAGTTGTTTGTGGAAGTTTGATAACGGAAGTTGCGGCCGCTTCCAACTCCGCGATCTTCTTTTCTTCGTCGAGGAGTTTTCGGTGCCATCGTAGTAACTCTTCGGCGGCCTTGCGGCGCTTCTGCAATGCCGCCTCTCGCATTAACAGTGTCCTGAAATTGGGGGAAAAACTCAGTTTTTACGAATTATATAACGCGCACTTTACTCGTGTTTACAACCGACCGCTGAATGGACTACTGCTGACTAATTTTGAAACGTGGATTTCCTCGCTGTAGGAAGCTTCCTAACTGAAAAGTCCATGCTGGATACGAGCCAACAGGATATCTAATATTAACTCGCCTGTTTTTAATCATTTCTAATTTCTTTCGTAATAATAGACTTCAACGGCCGGAATTGATGAAAACTATTTCTGGACTGAAAAACATGGACGAAATCGCAACGTAAACACTCAACTTTTACTTCTCACCAATAGTAGTTAGTGTTGACGAAAAATAAAAAAGTCTGTGATTTTTGGACTTATTTTGACAAAATTTGGCGAAATCAAAGAGTTTCTTGGTCAAAAACCAGCTAAATTTTGTACGAAACACTCAAAAATACACTTTAGATATCTTTAATTTCAATTTCATTTTGCGATTTTTAAGTTTATTTTGACAAAACAAGTAAATTTCTCTATTAAAACAATGCCTAAATGATCGAAACAGGCCAAAATAACGTCAATTTCCAAGGAATTTGATAAAATTTAATTACTTCTCGAACTACGGGATGTGAGGACAAATTTCCCGGTTAGGAATCAGCATATTACTATAGTGATTGTGAATAAAGCCTCTTCAGACCAAAACAAAGCAATTAACTTAATTATACTTCAAAATTTTAGTTTAAAAACGTGCTAGAAAGTTTGAAAAAAAGTAATAAGTAACATTTTCGACAAAATTTTGATGTTTTTCGACTTATTGAAGACAAAATTTCGCTAGATCGAGTAAAATAAACAAAATAACATCAATTCCATTTTATCTCTGTGATTTTTAGTCGTGTTTTGACAGAATCTCAATCTAATTTAACAATTTTTCTGCCAGATTTTGCAAAAATTTTCAAAAAAAACTATTCTTTTCTCAAAAACTTGGTTAAACACTAAAAAAGATAAAAATACCACTATTATTAGCCTACATTGGTAATTTTTGAGCTTGTTTTTAACGAAATTTTGCGAAATAATAGCTAAAAGATGTATTAAAACACGTAAAAAGACCAAAAATAACAGCCTATTTAGCGATTTTTCGTCCCTGCCTGAGAAATCTCGTAAAGAACAAAAATACTTTTTTAACAAATTTGTGAGTTTTTTTAACATAATAACTTAAAAAAAATCGGTTTTTTCTTCAAAAACGTGCTTAAACACTCAAAAAAATATAAAAATAACACTATTTTGGCCTAATTTTCGGCTCATTTTTAAGAAATTTGTACAAAAAAGTGCGTTTTTAGCTGAAAAATATGCTGACACTCTCGAAAAAGTCAATTTAGTGATTTTTTGACCAATGTGTCAAAAAAATTAAGTTTACAAGACAAACTAAATATTATTGATCCACCTGTACATATAACCGTCGAGTTTTTTTTTGGAAAAAAATCTTCAAACTTTTTTCTTTTTTTGAATTACCCTATACAGGATGAATTGAATGTAATTTTTGTTAAAAAAGCTTCTTCCAGATCAAAACAGAGCAATTAACTTAATACACTCTAAAAAAAACCTAAAATTTTAGTTCAAAAACGTGGTCAAAAATTTAAAAAAAGTAATAGTAACAACATTTTCAACCAAATTTTGATGATTTTCGGCTTACTGATGCCAAAATTTCGCTAAATCTGAGTAAAATAAACAAAATAACATCAATTCCGTTTTATCTCTGTGATTTTTAGTCGTGTTTTAATTTAACAATTTTTCTGACAGATTTTGCAAAAAAACCTATTTTTGTTTTTTGTTAAACGAAAAAAAAGATAAAAATACCACTATTATTAGCCTACATTGGTAATTGGAATTCCCTGTTTGAAAAATCTCGTGAAAAAACAAAAACAATTTTTTAATAAATCTGTGCGTCTCTAGTTCAAAAACAAACTAAATCAAGCGAAACAAGTTAAAACGATACAACTTAACTTAATAATTTGAAAAATCGTTTTTTTTTTCTCAAAAATGTGGTTAAACACTTAAAAAAGACAAAAATAATACTGTTTTGGCCTAATTTTCGGCTCATTTAAAAAAAAAATTGAAGAAAATTGCATTTTTAGCTAAAAAAATATGCTGAGACTGTCGAAAAAGTCAATTGTGATTTTTTGACTAATGTGGCGAAAAAAATAAGTTTTTGCATTTAAAAAATAAGCAAAATCCTCAAAAATAGTAAAAAATCGAATTCTGTTCTTGAAGAAGAACGCTAATCCTACTAAATGTTCGAGGAAAGACTCGACTTTAAAAAAATACCGCAACTACAGCATATTTTTCATTTCTTAAAAATCATCGGGAAAAAATCCGCTGACTCTCACCTTTTGGCGTTCGCCACCGGCACCTCCACGTCGGACTCCTCCGACACTCGCAACGACTTCGAGGTGACACTCACCACATCCGTACTCTTCACCGAAATCGACGTCTCCGAATGCACCGACTCGCTGCGACTTTGCACCACCCTCAACGGCCCCATGCTTCGCCTCTCTTTGCGCTTCTTCACCGTTATCTGCGCCAGCATATCATCGGTGGAGAGCCGCGTCTTAATCAAATTCCTCTGCCGTTTGAGGGTGTTTTTCCGCTTCTCCGACGCCTCTTTTTGCATCTGTTTCAGTTTTTTGATCTCGTTGCGTTCCTGCTCATGTTTGAGGAGGATTCCGCGTTGTTTTTTCTTGAGAAGGGAGGCTTCTTCGATTTTCCCAGTTTCGATTAATTGTCTTTGGAAATTTGCTTGTAATTATTGGAAAAACAGAGATCAAAGACTTACTTTTTCTGGATTTCGAGCCATACGAGCTCGCCTTTGGTCCGGTCGAGGAGGGCTTGTTCCCGGATTTTGATTATGGCCTTTAATTGCTGGATTCGGGTGTCTTCGTCTTTGATCAGTTGGTCGAACTGCAAATAAGTGTTGTTCAATCGGTGTTATTTTGTTATTTCAATAACATTCCGACTGGCGACTGATAAGTGTAATAACGGAGATTCTTATCTCTAGTCGGGTTTTATGTTTACTTAGGTATGGTACGAGTGTTTAATTACGTATCGTATGAATGGCGTTTTTTAGAAAAATGAAACTAATTCTCAAACAATTTAGAAATAAGAAAAAAAAACTAAAAAATGTTTAGTCTGAGAGGCCTTGATACGAAAAATAAAAACTCTGTAAAAGAAAATCACTGATTATGTGAAAAAATATACTGAAACTTGACCACCCTGTACGCAACGTCGGAGGATAAGATAACAGAAACATGAAAAAAATGGTTAAAAAATTGTATCTGTTAAAAAAAATGACATTTGACATTTTTTATGACCATTAAATGATATTGATGATCTTGTATAAAGTCGCGGTCAATTCATAGTGGCCATTTAATTTATTGCAAAGTTAACAGCCCCTATTTATTGCAAAGTTGGCAGCCCTTAGCCCACCACCTCTAGTGTGTGGGTTGTGTCTATGTTGGTAGTAGAAATAACTAAGTTGTCAACAGTTATAACAGGAGTGGTGTAGATTTGATAAGTGAAGTATTCTAAGCCGACTTTTTTACAATTGTCATTTTTGACAGATATGTCTCTAAAAAAACAATTAAATGTTTAAAGGCGGATTTACACAACACAATTTTTACAAATGTACACAGGGAAGTGGCCACTATGAATTAACCGTGACTTAATGTTTTTTTTTAATAATTATTTAGTAAAGGTACAAAAATATTGTCAATAAAAGTCACAAATGACAGAGTTAAATACAATTTAGGACACAGCTTCCTTATTTCCTCTTCTAATAATAGGCTGTAGCAAAAAAACTTTGAAAATTATTTTTCCATCAGAAATAAATAGTGCTAAATTTAAACTCCCACTACATCGATATTTTTATAGATAGAATTTTTAAATATTTTTTCCATGTTACTGGTATCTTACCTTACATGGCATTTTTCTCTGGGGCGCGAGTTCTGGCGCAGCCTGTATTTATTTCAAATCACATTATTCTTGCTTTTTCAAACATCTTAGCTAAAAACTTATTTATTAAAAAAAAATCTTGCACAAAGTGGCCAAAAGTTACATATTTGGGTGGAAAATGGTGTTATTTTTGTTGTATTGTGTAAGAAATTAATTTTTTATTATGTTTTATTCAAATAACAAACCAGTAAATTTCTTAAACAAATCAAAAATTGGCTATTTTGGTCAAAAATGATTATTTCTGATACTTTCTAATAAAAGATTTACCTACTATTTGAGGAAAAATTTACGTTTTTAACAAATTTAGGCATAAATAATTCTCTAGAAATTTTTTTTCTCTAAAAACTTTCTTGTTTTGCAAAATTTTGCCTAAAAGTGTGTAAAAAGTCACATTTATCATTTCAAATCGCATTATTCTTACTGATTTCAAGCATCCTACCAAAAATTCCTTTATTTTAAAAAATTTTTTGCTGAAAAATGGTCAAAAAAATTTTGTGAAATTTTGCATAATTATGCAAAATTTAGAACTATCTTACTTTACATGGAATTTTTCTCTGGGGCGCGACTTCTGGCGCATCCTGTATACTGTTTTATTATTCAAGCACCGTAACCAACTTTTTTTCCTTATTACTAATTTTTATTTTATTTCATTGAAGTAATTAAACTGTCGTAACATTTTTCTTTAAAGTAACACCTGACTTTTTATTCCATTGGTTCTTTAAACTGTAGTTTTTTAAATATTTAATGTTTTTCAATTTTCCTAAACAAAACAAAATAAGAAAATTTTACACTAAACTTTAATGATACACCCTGTTTACATCAAAAACGGTTAATTTTTCCACACGACTATTATTTTTTTTAATACAGTGCGATCAAAGTCTTTCTTTCAAGCAAGCCTAGAAATTTAGAACGTATTTTCGCAAAACATAAAATGTTAAATAACAAATGTCAAAAGAATTTTTATGTAATTTATGACAGGAAATTGTAGTGAACCATTTGTATGAATAAACACCAACAATATTTCATTTTAGGATATTTTGAGAAGTTTCATAGGTCAATACTGTAATTTTTGAAAAATATTTTTTTGACATCTAGCCAACATAAGAACTGCCAAACGACATACGTCCTTAACTAATAAGTCTACTTGATAAAAAAAAAACTTTTTGATTTATTTGAATTTAAAATAATGTATTTTAATCACCCCAAATACAGAGTGGCTCACTGAAAACAAGCCACCTAAGTTTTTGACATTTTGACTCGATGTATTAAAAAAACTCTCAAACAGGTCAATTTAAAGAGAAGCAGCATGTAATTTTTTTAATGAAAATATGGGTTAAAATTTTATTTTAAAATCTATTAAAATATCTTTACAAGTATTTATGTATAATATGTATTTATGTAATTTTTAACCGAAATAGAAAAACAAATTTATGTTCAACTATACAGAGTGGTCCATCAATGGAACAATTAAAAAAAAACATGGTTTGAATTGAATTTTTAAAAATTGTTCGACTATTAAATGTTAATTTTTTTTATTTTAGGTAAAAGTAAGTTTTTGCAATAGAGTTTTACTCCATTGTCTAAAATCGTTTTATTATTTTAGTTTGTAATTAAATTGTGAAATTTTTAATTTTTACAATTCCTAGTATGTATTCATACTTACGATATTCAGCGATAACAAACTCGCACAATTATTCGCATTGTAATTCTCGATATTTGAAATGGAAAATTTCGATTGCTCCTCCTCTGCTATCGAAACACTCGATTCGTTCAAATTACTCAAATTCCACTCGGTGGCGGTCGAAAACGAACTATTCTGCATCGATTTACTCGCATTCATGATCGAATCGTTCAACTCCTCGATGATTTCAGATCCTCGTGAAAAATTAATCGTATTGACACTACTTCTCGGTGACTTTTCTGTCGAAGTTTTCGCAATAAACGACGTCTGGGTGTCCACATTTTGAAGAATTTTTCGCACGGCTGTATTCGTTTCGTTCTTTGTTTTTATACTCTCGAAGGCCTTTTCCACGGCCATGAACTGCCTGAAAGACTCGTTGAAGTCGTTCAGGAGGCGCACTTCGGCTTCGAATTTCAGGTGGATCTCATTCACGTTGTTCTGAAAAAAAAAAACAAGTAATGTCTGATCAAAGTAACCTGAAATTAAGTAGATTTAACAATTAGTGTTGCCAACTTAATTTCAAAGTTATGGGCTACTTTGATGCTCACCACACTAGAACTCGATGGCCTAAGTGTGATATTTTTCAGGTGATTTTTAACGTCATTTTGCGGTTTTTCCAAATCGCTATTTTCGTCAGTATTTTTTGAGAGCGTTTCTGACTGATTTTTCGAATTTTCACTTCCAGTCAAGAGTGATTTGAACGATGGTTTTTCTTGTGAGAAACTCGAATCTGAGGAGTAGTTTTCACTAAGAGACTTGATAGTAATTGTGTTCGTTTTCCCATTAATTGAGTTTAAATTGCGAATCGAGAGTGAAACATTTGGCTCTTTTAAAGTCAGAGACTCTTGAATGGAATCCGAATCTGATAAAGTTTTCATTACTTTTCGAGATTGTGAATCACGATTTTTCTTGAAACTCTCCGTATTTATAATTTCTGAAACGCTTTCTTTGTGGAAATCCGAGCTGTAACTCTCATTTTGCAATTTGTAATTTTTCAGTTTATCAAAATCCAATTTTGGTTTATCGACCGAAGTCACACTTTCGCTGGAAATGTCCGGAATATTTTTCGAAGTGTCCGATTCGCTATCAATGAAGAGATTTTTCGACACTTGTCTCAATTCTAAATTTTCAACAGCTTTCAAATCGAGACATTTATGCGACGCGAAGGACCTCAACTCGCTGTTGGCACTTTTGATCAACATCTCCTTAATTTCCTCCCTGGATTTGGTTTGGCCGCACTCCGGAGTCCCGGAGTTTTGCACCCCCACATCAATGTAATTCCTCGGTGAATTTACAGCAAACTGCAACTTTCGCTTGACTGTGTTAATGAAATTGTACGGGTATGGCACAACAGGGGGCTCCATCCACTGCGCCCCCTTATCACGACTCGTTTGAGTCTCCTTAGTGTCTTTGACACACGCGTCGGTCATTATCGAGTGTTCTGCCACCTTTTGTGGCTTTTCGGACACGGTTTTGGGGGCCTCGGACCTGGAGACTTTTTCATTTTGTTGTGACTCGGACCTAGAAACTCTTGCATTTTGTTCGGACTCGGTTTTGGGGGCCTCGGTACGCGTCTTGGGTCTCGAGACTCTTTCATTGCGTTGGGGCTTCGCCCTCGCTCGGTCGATTCTTACAGGGGGGGTTTTTTCCCTCGATTTTGAGCGCTCGCGTTTCAATTGAACGTTTTTTGTCACTAATTCTATGGTTTTCTGATGCAATTCCTTCAATTTCTGTTTTTTTAAATCGACTTTGTTATCAGTGACATTGATTTGGGCACGCAACTGCTCGGCTCGTTTTTCTCTCTGTTTTTTAATGTAATTTCGAGCCTCATTAACGTCATAACTACGGGCTTTTTTAAGGGGGCTCTTCTTCGCAGTTTCGGGTGCAGGTTTTTTGGAGTTTTTCTCGGGCTCCCGGACGGGTTGGGTTTCAAAACTTGGAAGTTTCTTTATGGGGGGCTCAGGGGGCTGTGTACCAAGACTTATGAGTTTCTCTAATTCGGTTTTGAGCTGCTCGATTTCCTTTTTGGTGTTTTTCACACGTGTACTGACGTTTTCGACTTGGTTGTGCTTGTTAGTGGGATTTATGGACATTTCTGAGCCCGTTTCAGGTGAAACTGTTTTCACGAATTGCAACTGGAAAATTAATTTTAATTAAATTAAAATTACCAAACCCACGAATTATTAACAAAACAATTAACATTTCATTTAATTTTACGCAATAACATGTAAAATCCACTCACCTTTTTTTACATATTTTAAAAATGTCAACCGTTAAAACATAACCTCACTAATTCAAAGGTGGTTACGTTTAACTGGTTACGTTCAAGGTCAACCACAAAAACTATAAAAAAAATAACTTATTACTTATTTTGCGTTTTTTTTTATTTTGGTTAAATTTAAAACACGATTTTTTTGTCTTCTGGCTTAGAGTAATCAAAAATTATTTATTTTTTAATTGATTTTTCAAAATTGACGTTTGACAGTGACACTGCGCATGCGCGTCCTCAAACACCAAAACATGTTTTTGGTGGGAAAAGTTGTTTTGGGAATTTTTGGTTAAATTTATTCAAGAATGGCCGAAAAACTCGAAGATTTGAATTTGCCAAACATGACAGTGCAAAAAATCATAAAAGACGCACTGCCTGAACATGTCAGTGTGGGTAAAGACGCTCGATCGGCCCTTTCAAGGGCCGCTTCAATTTTTGTCCTTTATGTAACGTCTCAAGCCACTAAAGAGGCCCAGAAAGTTAACAGGAAGACCCTTTTGGGGCAGGATATCCTCACGGCATTAGAGGAACTCGAATTTGATGAATTTGTGGAGCCTTTGAGTGTGATGCTTAGAGGTTGGTTTTTGAGGTTATGTCCAAGTTTGAGTGCTCAAATCGTGTTTTTTAGACTTTAAAGAAGCAAAACAGAAGAAGAGTAAGGCGAAGAAAGGAGGGGATGTTGAAATGACGGAGGAGAACGACGACGAGGCTGTGGAAGAGGAAGAAACTGGTGAATCGTAGATTTAATAAAAACAAGTTTTTTGTAATTGATTTTATTTTTAAAAGCCTGATTTATGAGAAAAATTCAACAACTAGAAGTTATGACTAGATTAAGGCCACAGAATCGTGCAAAATAATCGATGGCAGTTGAACTATGAAATTACTCTAATTTTGCGTTCAATTGACGTCCTGCACATTGGACAATCCGCCAAGGCCGTGGGACATTGAGAACAGCAACAAAAGTGTCCACATGGCACAAAAATCACTTCACACTAAAAAAAAACATTCACAATTTTACACATACTATACGAAAACATACAGTTGAGTCCATGCAAATGACGCATTCCGGCCCCAAATTCGCAATGGTTTCAAGGGGCGGTGCACTGGCCTCTTCAATTGGCATCACTGGGGCTGTGGGTGTCACAACAGTTGGTATTCGCTCCTTTCTGTACATTTGGAATGCGTCTAAAATGTGTATTCGGTCCGATTTATTCACAATTCCGGCTTCTTTGAGCTCACTTTCTGTTATTTTCTCTACGTTATCTGCAACATATTAATTATTTGGGGAATCTAAACTTGAAACTTACATTGGCACTGCATCAAGTTGGCCAAAAAGGGCAAACAACTTATGACTCCGTTTAATAAAAGTGCTTGGGCTAAGAGCGGATCGATGTTTTTTTGGGCCTCTGACAAGCCCTCTGGAAGTCTGAAACCCACAATTAGTCGAAAATCAACGAGGAAATAACATACTTTTCCAGCAAATTCTGATACTGTTTGAGCCAAAAATCGTCGGAGTTGTTAAATTCTTCCAAATTTTGTAAAGTCGACAATAATTGATCCCTGCGTTCTTTCTGCTGGTCCAACAAATCCATTAATAAGCAACTCAGCTGAATTCTTTTCTCCGATAAATCATTCTACGATTAAAAATAATTAAAAATTGTAATTTGGAGTTGGACAACACGCACGAGATTTTCCTCCATTTCAAGTTTCTTCTTATCCAACTCGATGTGTGTCAATGCTGCCAATTGCGACTCCACCAATCTCACTTGTTGCAACAGCCCCCAACATCGGGCGTCGCCCCTCTGCAAAAGCGTCCCGACGGCTGCTTTCTGCAACTCGCTGTCTTCTTGCAGTTTCACCAAAAGCTCGGCTTTGTGCAAGTCCTGACTTTGGAGAATTTCGGCGATGCGACAGTCGTAGTCGGTTTCCCTAAATAAACATTGGTATAAAATGAAAAAAAAAATCAAATCCGGTAAAACTAACTGTTCTAAAATTCCCCGAGAAACTTCCATCCGATTCTGATGGAACTGTTGGAATTTCGTCAATTCCTGTTCGAGTAAAACTTGCATATCGGTCAAAATGTCGTTTTTTCGCAAAGCGTTGTTGTATTTATCAGCAGCGGCTAAAAGTCGCTCTTCTTCTTCTTTTTCTTGTTGCAAAAGCTGCGCAAGAGGTTCGTTGTTCAGTTCGAAGAGCTGCTGAATGGCCCGATCTGAATTTTGCTCAGCTGAAAATCGAGTTTTTATTTACAAAAATATGCGATGTAATAAATATTTCATCAAAGTCAGCCAACAATTTTAAATGTTTCTTCCTTTCCTCCCTTCTACGCTACTCCAAAATATTAAGGAAACAAAAAAAATTTCCTAAATTTTTTGGTGATTTTTGAAATTTTCTCAGTGAAAAAGATC